TGCAGGATTAATCTTCTTTTGAAGTGTAACTGCACGCTCAGAGTCGACCAGATCTTGTTCACTACCTGTGTCGACAATCCACTGACGAAGCCCTGCTGGTGCTGGCGTAGCAATATACTCCGGCACATCGTCAAGGTTCGTTTCATCATCATCAATCCAACAGCCAGGACAATACAAACCGCAATAAATTGGGTCATTGTCATCATAGTATTCGCAATAGAACCCACAAGGCGCGTTGTAGTTTGCATGCATCAAGTCAACAACCCCTTCCAGAATCAAAGCTTTGTCTTTAGCATCGCTCAGATCCTTGGGATTTGAGCCAGGCGCACAACCATCATACCACACAACCTCAGGGTCATTCGGCTTTGGAGCACATGATAGGCATAGCCCATTGGCCTCGATCTCGACGATCTCGACATTGTCTGCGAATTTGACGCATCTGCGAGTATTGGAAACATCTGTACCGCAAATGAAAATTGTTTGCCCAGTCCAGTATTGCTCCAAACCTTCATCAGGATCCGCCCAGAAATCACCAAACACTTGCTCTTTGCCATTGATGTTGGCTTTGGTGATGCGCTGATCCAATAAACGTTCCAGTGAAATCGGAAGGTCTTTTGCACTCTTCGGATCGTAAAGCGCTTTTCGAGGCATCACATGGTGTCGAATGATCATCTCGTTCACCGAGTCAACTTCCCAGAAATCTTGCTTTGGGCGGCATGCCGCGAGGCATGCATTGGTCTCTTTCACCCTCAGACACACAGCGGCTGAGGACTCGCCCTTTTTGCTCTGGGATCGCTTTCTCCCTTTTCCCTTTGGGGTGGGAGACCTACCTCTGCTGGCTCCTTTCTTCGGGCTCGGCTTATCTGTTGCCGGTGCAGCAGACCGAGTCTCATGCGAAAACGCACAGTTGTCTCCGCGAGTGCAATTCCCCTGACCGCCTTTGAAAAACCTGCACGGGATCTTTTTCAGCTCCGCTCTCTTTCTCGATGCCGACCGATCCCTGTCTCTCCCCTTGCTGTCAGAGCGCCCCCGACCTTTTCCTTTTGGATTTTGGCTCGGGGGTCTTGGGTCTTTCTCATGCTTGTAAATGCAATTATCCCGAGTGCACTTGCCTTTCTGAAAATCATAGCAATACCTGACCGCTGACGGATCTCTTGCACGCCCAGGATTTGCATTGGGAGCTGGAGCACCGACCTTCTGATTGTGAGCTCGAGCAACACGATCACGATTTGACTGCAATCGCTCCCGAGTCAAAACATCACGAACGGCTTGAACAAGAAACTCGTAGCTCTTGTCATACGACCCATCTTTTGCACGCTCGTATGTATCGAGGTCATACTTGATCTTGTGACATCCACGAATCTGTCGCAAGAAAATGTCCTTCAAGACGTGCTGCTCCGGAACGATCTTCATGCCAGCAATGACGGAATCCCAATTCTGAATAAAGGTCATCAAATCATTGCCATGAAGCACCACCTTCAACAAATCTTCAGTGGAATACAACGCTCCGGCCTCCTCGTTCTGAAATACTGCTCAAACATGAGAAGAACTTGACGTCCACGGACAACTTTGTCCAAAGCAGCTTGTTGCTCCTTGTAGGTGAGGATCTGCCGACTAAGGTCGCCCCTAGCAATCCGCGACAAGGCCGCAAGAAGCTTTGTATCCAACGTTTCAAACTGCTCTGGATCTCCTAGCTCTAACATGAGATTCTTCTTATCCTCCCGGTTGACGTACACCTTGTTAACCCAGGTGAATGCAGCATCAGGCCGATCTGAAGCAGCCCGAATTTCTTCGCGAGTAGCCGTTTTCCAGGCTCTATAGGTCTCAGGAGTGGGAAACTCACTCAGCCTCAGCGAGTCGGCTTCCTTTGCTTTCGGCCGATCATGCTGATTCCGGACGAAGCCGAGGAGGGCCGCACGGAACTCCGCCTCAGTGGTCTCGGGACCAGTCAACCGATCAATGTTCGGCTGATTTTGCTGACTTCGGCTGTTCTCTTGCTCCGAAGACCGTCTCGCATGATCTTTGATATCAAACTGCATTGCACCAGAAATAGGATCAGTCCAACTCTGCTGTGGAATAATCTGTGGCATAGTTCCAGAAGTTTGTGCATTCTGCGTTGGAAAAAGACGCGGATCATCAAAGATACTTCCCCTCTTATCGAAAAACGACTCCGAACTGACGTTCTGTACACTTGACGCAGGCTGAGGATCTCCGCGCACCATTTCACGCTGCGCCTTTTCGAGATCGTTCCTCAGACGCTCAACGGTGTCGTTCAGCCCGTTGATCGTGTCCTGCATGGCGTGATTCTCCGCCAAAATACTGTCTCTCTGCTCACCGACCGCCTTCTCCGAGTTCTCCATCACAACAGTCTCAGCATGTAAGCTTTGTGCGAAAGCGCTATACTGTGCCGTTCTTTGCGACACAGCTTCGTTCACTTCGGCAGAAATTGCTCCCCGCATCTGGCCAACCTGGGCGTTGAAGAAAGCGCGAGCCTCTGCGAACTGCTCGTGCAGCTCAAGGGTCCGACGGTTGTTCTCCTCGTCCAGGCGATGCACAGTTTCCGCCAAATGAGCGCTATATTCCGCCCTTGTAGCATCCATAGCAACGCGATGTAACGTGTTGGCCTCTTCCCTAACAGCGTCACCCGTGTCGTTATGCACATGCATGATGTTCTGGGTGGCTTGGTAGTTTGTCGCGAACCCGAATACGTTTCGAGGATCGCGAGGGTCAACAGGACCTGTAGGTGCAACTGCACCATCACCACCGTCACCAACTTCTCCAGATATATTGTATATAATGGGCAAATCTCCGGATGCCATGGCGATCTTTGTACAAGCCTTTACGGCTGATAACCTGTGTTATCAAGCCTAGGCCACCTAAGGTAATACCTAGGCAAGCAGCAAACCGTTGACTACTTTTCACACTGCTGGTAGTGCTATTGAAGTCTGTAGCGGCGGAGCATGTACAAGGTACACTCATGCACAGGGTTGGAACCTGAATCCACACAGCAGGGCCCCCAAAACACTTCTCTTTCAACTGAAGAATGGTGCCAAGAGGAAAAACGCCCTTCAGGTTTCGGTCTCAACCAACCTGAAAAGTTGTACCCTCGGAGGGGGGGGGGGGAATAAAAACAACAACCAAACCTTGGTTGCTGTTGACCCCTCTGCAATAAGTGTTTAACTTGTGTAGGGTCCTATGATCGGAGAATCCGTTCTGTTTCAACCAAGAAGCTATTGTCCAAAGATCCGCAACCAAATCGCCATAAACTCACTTCCTGACTGAATGGGCCAGAAAATTGTCTTCCTCACTTCCTCACTTCCTCACTTCGCAACCAAAATGGTCTTCCCGCAAAGTTGAAAAGTCCGAAACGGAACTCAGGAGGTGAGAAAAGTATCATCGTCCATGCTGGACACCCCAACGTAGTCCCGCCTTTTTCAGCTTCTCATGGCACCGAAATGTCAACGTCGGGGCAAGCTTCAGATGGTTTTTTCGCCGGGAGCGATTTGAGGTGTCTGTCCTTTTGTGGGAAACCCCTTTTGGTGAATCTAACAACCAGGAGGAAATCAACCATCTTGGGGCCTTTGAGGTGCAGGTTGCCAGGGTTTCTTACCTCCAGGTACATGAACGTGAGTTGGGTTCTGTTCGTTTTTGGTGGTGGGTTTGCTAGAGTTCCAGGGGTAGCTTCGTTGTTTCCGGAAAACTTTTGAGGGGAAACCCTTTTGGGTTTGACAGGGAAACCAGACGAAAACCAAGCATGTTGGGGAGTTCCGATTCCTATTTTGAGACAACCCCAGCCCAAACCAGGAAGCAAAATACCGACTTACGAATTTCCAACCATGATTCCATGATTGGGCTTGGCGAGAACTCCAAGCCCAAATCCCAAACCATGCAGTTCGGCGGTTTGTACGGTTGGCAGCTTGAGACTTTTCCTGACGACAACTTGCTGGCAAAAGGCTCTTGGCAAGAAAAGAGAGCCCCGGCAAATGTCGCATGACTTTTTCCATGCGTTCTTTCTTGAGCCGCGGCATTGTGATCCTTCTCCGCACTGACCACCCATCAATGATCACATGCACAAACTTCCTTGCTTCCTTCCTCCTTCCTTTCTTCCTTGGTATCTGTCCATCAAGCTTCTCTAGGTAGTCATGCATTTGACGCATCCTCGAGATTGCGTGCTCCAGTACACCATAAATCATTGCCTTCCCAGTCCGCGAGAATGCAGCCTCACGTGCTGGCTGTTTCATTTGAGCCGTGAGCTAAAATCAAAATCCATTCTGCCTCTCTGCACAATGGCAATCCATCTGCAAACTCATATTGGTTCAACAGTCAGTGAGTAGTTCTCACTGGGGCATTTTGCCTGCACGCTCATAGCGTTCTAGGTGCCTGTTGGAGAATCGAAAGGCTGTGCTTGTGAGTGCCCAACTGGTTCAATCTCCTTTCATCGGCCATGCCGGAGATGTCCCCCAACCACACAAACATCTGCAGCTTAAGTCTCTCCCATTGCAGAGCATGAAATTTCAATATGCGAGGATGGCCAATAAACGACCGTGCTATGTGTTCGATGGCACAAGCCTGATAGCCTCATGCCTTCATTGAAGACAACCTTCCGAGAGAGCATGCTGCAACATGGCGGTTTGCCAAGAATTCGAAATGGTAGCTCCAATCCTGATCCTATCAAACATAGTTGATTCAGGGCAAAGCTATCTCATCCCCACTCCAACTGAAGATACAACACCCAAGTGTTCACATTCACCCGCCGAAAGTCCAAACATTCAAAACTCAAAAACACAACACGTCCATATTGGGGTTGACCCCCCAAACACATACCCATATTTTGCCCGCTACCCAAAAAGAAAAACAAAGAGTGCCGCGTGCCGCATGCCCCTTTGCTTCCATTTGCTTAAGCCCCCTGAAAAAAAAAAATAATTCCAGTAGTGATAGATTCCCTTTAAAACCACATTCTTAAACAAATGGAAGTTTGCGAGCCGCTCGCTCGCCGCTTTTGTCGTCTTCGTTCGCCAATGACGCGCTTGGTGCGGTGGCCCTAGCTATGGTCATTGTCCAGCAGCTGGCGCGCGAGCTTCTGCTCCGCCCTCAGCAGCAGTCTGGACTGCCCGTTTTCGGATCCCCGGCCAAAAAAATGACGAACGTTTAGTGGGTGAAATACGGAAACCCAACCACTAAACACTAAAAGGCTAGAAAGCTAAGGAGCCGGATGGCTGGGAGCCACCCAGAAGTGAGAGCATTCTTGTGGACTCTTCGCAGTTTCGTTTTTTGTTTTTTGCTTCTTCTTTTTTTAATTCCGGAAATACCAACAACCGTTATGGTTTCAACCATGGCTTCTTAAGTGGTGCGAACCGATTTCGTCCAACAGTGAGCACACTGAATCCGTCCATTTTGCAGCGGTTGTTGTCAGGGTTGGAGTCTGCAAGACTCTGAGTGTCCGTGGCACAGGGACGGGGTTCCTAAGAATCCCTGCACAAACTCCATGGAACCCGAAAGGGGCTCTCAGTTACCCCGCTTGTACCCACCCTAGGGACTCCATGGGTCATGGGAGGAACAGGCCATATATGTTTTTTTCACAGCCTGGAGTCTCCACGACCCTTTAGAAATGGGTCAATGACCCCATAATTTTGGGTCATGACCACCCGTTTTTTATGGGTCAGAAGGAGACTCCAGGTCCCTGACAAGCAACCCAAGCCAAAACCTGACTGGAGTTGCAAAGGCCGCTGTGTTGAGAGAGTTCCATGAAAGACCACTTTCCTTTTGGCACCTCCTAGCTTCTCCAGTGGAGAGGTTAGAATAAGTTGCTACCCGAGGTTTTTCCTTCTGTAGTTTTTTTTTTAGGGGAACCCTCCCCCCAAACAAGGGGTGAGAAAGGGCACCTAGCTGGGGGACCTAGCCTCAGTTCCAAAGACCGCTTTTCTCAAAAGAGACCTTCGGGGTGCCATGTTTCTCAGGAAGCAAAGTATTGCACACATGCGATCCATAGCTCTTGTGGCACCAAGGGTCCCTTTTCCGGATGGTGTCATTTGTCACGGGAGCTGCCTTGGGGGGTCTGTGATATCCAAAGAAAGCAGACTGTCACTTGACAAGGAGACGAGCAATGAGTTTCTAAGCCATTCAAGTGAGGTCCGGAATTACTTGCCCCGAAACATGGGACAATTAGGACTCGCCCCCGGGTTCTTGTGGGCAGTTTGGTGAGTGCTATATTTCCTAGGTAGAATGTTGCTGAAACCTCAAGTGAGTCAAAAGCAGGTATAAACATGGCCATCCAAAACCATGCCAAGAATTGAAAGGCGGCCGCACCCGAGATTGCCCCTTACTATCCTTTGTCTGCCCGGGTTTTGATTGTGGTTCACGTTGAATGATCAGTTGGCTGCTGATGTGCAGCCTTGCCTTCGTTGCAAATTCCGCCCTTTTCGGGTGGGCTTCAAGGGACATTAAACAGGAAAACCACCATCCTGTGGGTCCCACTTGACATTTGAGACATACACACCTCATACTAGAACGGCATGAGTCGTATTGCATGTTTGGAAGTGAACTATGCATGCATCTCTGCCTGAGGTCCCCACACGGTGTGAAGGTGGTGGATCAAGGGGACTCTCCTGACCATTGTCTTCCGGGTCCAACCCACATCGAACCGCCGAAAACAGCCGCCGCACTTCCAGGCCTAGCCGTGCAACCACAAATCAGTGGTCAAAAGATTCCCAAACATCCGCACTGACGAAGGAGTTGCTTGGTAGCATGTGGGGTTGTTTGGTGGTTTAAAAGGGACACCAAGAAGAGAAACGGCTTCGATTTTGGGAGACCAACCTCAACAAAAGGACAGACCCGTGTTCGCCTTCTCACGAGACAGGTCAAGTCAACTCACACTTTGCTTGGTGCAGGACCCACGCTTTCGGAATGCACCGCAAGAAGAAGAAGAAGAAGAAGAAGAAGAAGAAGAAAAAGGAACCAAATCACATTTAAAAAAATAATGTGTATATATATATATATATATATATCATATCAAATAAAAACATTAAAGGAAACAAATCACGTGTATGGCTTTGCTTGGGGTCCTTCCAATTCTCGACACCAGCTCGCAGCGATCGCAAGCTCGACGGGAAGAGAGCTGCCTGAACCCTCAAGCAACCACTAAAAAAGGGGGGGAGGAATTCACTCCACCATACTTTTGGGGCAGCAACCCATTTTAAAGGGAATTTTGAGGGCCCGGGCCATTTTTCAGTTGGAATTTTGAAGGTCCAGGCCATTTTCACTTGGAATTTTGAGGGTCCAGGCCATTTTTCAGCTGGAATTTTGAGGGTCCAGGCCATTTTTCAGCTGGAATTTTGAGGGTCCAGGCCATTTTCAGCTGGAATTTTGAGGGTCCAGGCCATTTTTCACTTGGAATTTTGAGGGTCCAGGCCATGTTTCAGCTGGAATTTTGAGGGTCCAGGCCATTTTTCAGCTGGAATTTTGAGGGTCCACGCCATTTTCAGCTGGAATTTTGAGGGTCCAGGCCATTTTTCAGTTGGAATTGACATGTGCCCGCCTGCCGTACCAGAAGCGATCGCAGTTGTTGCGCACGGCCGCCAGCTTGTGCCTGCGGCCTCAGAGACGAGAGCTCGAAGTTGGCACCGAATCGACTCATCCCGGATGCATCACTTCAGCTTTGCCATGGCTCCATGTGTAAATGCGCTGCCCCAAAATTGGGGCAAAATATTTTTGGGTGGGTAGTTTGAGGGTCCGGCTAGGTTCAAGGTTGAACGTTGGCCATACGGCCATGGGTCAAAACCCAAATCGAACCCCCAGTGAACATCCCAATCCAACCACTAAAATGGGTGCTAAAATGAGTGGTGCACCCGCCTCAAAATGGTACCATTGGTTTTGACCCACGTCCTGGTGGGTTCCAGTGATAAATGATGAGAACCAAAGGGAAACCAGTGGAACCCATCTAATTGTGTCCAACATATCTATTTGACAAATTGCTAGTTTGTCTAGGTCCTCCAGTAGAGAGGTTAGAATAAGGCTACCAACTCTTTTCTGTAGGCTATTTTAGTAGGGGAACCCTCCCAACCAAACGAGTTGGTAAAAGGGCACCTAGCTCGGAAACCTAGTCAATGTACCCCGCGCATCTCCAACATCAGCAAAGCACGCAGCGGAGGGCGATCTCCGTTCAACCACACCTAGCCTTGACAATAGTATGAGTGGCAGATATGTAGGGTCTTCTCCACGTGGTGGACCTCATGTTTGTGGGTGAAAGGGTTCCAAAGGAAACTAACCTGTTTGGGGGGGACCCCCATGTTGCGCAAGTTTTACAATAATTCCAACACCTGAAATAAGAATCGGCTCCACAAGCAAAGGCTTTCGCTCGTTTAACCCGAAATTTGGTGAGCTCGCCATCAATCATGTAAATTACTGTAAGCCTCGTGATGTGCCGGCAGGCTCTCGCTCAAGACGCTGCAACACTGCACCCCCCCCCCTCCGCCCGCCCCGGGTTCTTCAAGGGAGCAAGGCATTCCAATACCCTCCTGTCCACTAATGGAACCTGAGTCAGAGGTGTTGGTTGGGCCCATGTTCCTTATGGACCATTTCCCTAAATTCCCGAGCAAAATGGACAGGAGGCCAGAGATTCTAATTTTGACCCCGAAAACCCCTTCCTATTAGGCGTTCCCTCCAAAAGTGGTCTCCAACAGCCAAATCTGGCCGGAGCCTGGAGGAGCCAAGGCGCAATAGTCCTCTGCCTGTCTCTTGTCCTAACGGCATCGATGGCGTGGAGACTTTGGTGAACCCCAGCTCTGACATCACTCGCTCTGAGCCGCTTGCTTGACGTTGGGTTTGGGGAGCAAAACAAAAATGCAGTTAGGTGGTTGGAGTTCAACCACTCAACCACAATAAGCAAAAATGTAAAATGTTTCCCAACAACAACCATGCAGGGCTGCGACTTCCAGCGGAAGGAACTACCCCCACCCCCCGCCCTTGAATGTCCGGCTTATGACCGGCATTCACATCTCTGCTTCCCCACCCACTCAGGTTCGCCTGAAAAGAGAGGGAACAAAAAAGCGTCCGGCACCTGTGAAGAATGAGTGACAATGAATACGAATGAAACCGAGGTAGATCAGCTCCCGCTTTGCTTGGATCATGTGCCGGCTCGATTGCCCATCTAGAACCCTATCTTTAAGTTCTGGAGCTCTACTTTCTCCAAGATCGCCCACTTAAATAGGTTCTAGAATGGGTGGTGGGTGGTGCAGCTACCCCAAAATTGGATCCCATGGGTTTTGACAACCACGGCCATGTAAGAAGAACTACCCTCCTGGTCATTCTCACACCCCTTGCCGGATTTGTAGCCCGTGTTTTTATTTTATTTTATTATTTTTCCGCTGGCCACCTTTTTGGAAGGTCTCGAGAAAGGTCTTGGCTGTACATCTTAACCCAATGTTGACCCCATACTGTGGATGGACAAAGTCCTGCACCACTTTGAAACCACAGGAAGCAATTGTTTGTTGGAATTTACAGGGGAGTCAGCAATTTACAGGGGTTTATTATTGGGGGAGCGTTCCCCTTCAAAAGTGGTCTGATTCCAACCACTAAACCCGGGTTGACACCCCCCTATTAATAAACTGGGGTTGATTAATATGGGGTGAACATTACCCGGAAAAAAACCGCAAAATTTCACCGCCCGTGCCATGCTCTATCTCCTTTTGGCACCTCGCTCACCTCGCTCCCATCGAAAAAGCCCCCAGCCTGGAAGTGGCTCATCTGCGCCAACTCCTGGGCCGCCGCGGCTCCGAAAGGACACCCAACCGTCTTCCCGTCTTTTTACCTCAGCCAATGGGTCCCAGAGACTCTGAAAGAGCGGAGTTGACCCGAAAAACAAATCGCGTGGATGTGGGCGGCTGTTTTTTTTTCCTGTTTTTTAGTGTTTGGGAATTCCCTTTCCCTGCCGCCCTCTTCACTTGGAACCTGACGTTCGGGACCCGGTCCCTTCAAGAGACGAATGGTCTTCCAAAACTTCTCTGTCAGGTTCCATGTTTATTGGTGGTTGGGTACCCCTCTTTTGAGACAAACCTACATGTGAGTGTGTGTGTGTGTTAATTCTATTTCGGGACTCGAAATGGTGGACATCATTTGCCGGGATTCATGTCCAACTTTTGGAGGGTATTCCTCATTTGAAATTCATAGCCGCATCTACTAGGTGAACCAGCCTCCGGCCTGCAAACATCATGAAAGTCTGCTACTACAATTGCCCTCTAGGGACTCCAAACGAGACTGCAAGGGAATCTAGCCTGGCACCAACAGTTCTGGCGGCGCCAAGCAAGCAAGCGCGCCCTCCAGGCCATATATTTCTTCTTGCTGGTTCTCAGACTGGAATGACCCCTACAAACCCTACATTATCTGCGCAAGATATGTTATGTGCATTCCATACAACTTGGATCCCAATGTCTTGGAGAAACCATCCCCGCGGAGAAAGGATTGGATGCTTTCAGGGCACTGGTTTATTACCCTATTGGTTTCCCTTTAACACCACACCAAGGCGCGGTGTAGGAAACCAAGAGGGTAATAAACCACTGGGCTTAGGTAAAAAAGAGGGTAAAAAAGAGGGTACAAAAGAGGGTAACAAAAACCAAGAGGGTAAAAACCACACAAAACCTAAGCAAATCTCATTGGAAACCCCTAGGCTTAGGTTCTCACCTTGGGGTCACTGAAGGAGACACCCTGGCTCGAGAAACTTGCTGGCGTACTGATCGAATGACCCCCCCAAAAAAAGACTTGCAGCTTCCTTTTAGGGAACTCCTGGGTTCATTCCATTTCTCATTACCTATCGCAGCGATCGCAAGAAAAGAACCCGCGCTCCATCCGCGCCGCGCCTTGATGGCCTGCAGCGCGCCCTCCTCCTTCTCACCGTCGATGGGGTTCAGATGCAACTCCCAGCAACCCAGCGGCAACTCCTGGCGAAGAACGAGACGGCGGAAAGGAGCGCGCGGCAGAACGAGCGACGGCGAGTGAAGACGTCGATAACATGTAAACCGGAAAGAGATGCAAATGATTCGCACCCCATGCGATTGAAGCTCATGATGTGGGTGGTGGTAATTCTTCAAGAAGAAGAGGAAGATGATTAGCATGGTGCAAACCCGAAGAACGTTCCCCATCGCGCAGAGCCTTGTGGCTGAGACTTTCTGGCAGAACCAAGGGACCAAACAATGGAACCAGACACATACGGAAACATAATTCCTCCAGCAATCACCCCCTCCCCCAAGTCCATGTTTAAGGAGTGACACCCTTTACCCCAAATCCATGTTTAGGGCCCCGGTGGCAAATCCCCCCCCCCCCCCCATCCATTTTCGGCCGCAAAAATGGCCCCATAGCGCAGCTCCTGCTGCTTGCCGTTCTTGGGCGCCGCCCCGCAGCCCGCGGAGCCCGGGGCGCCCACGGTGACGTTGAAGAGCTTCGGGAGGATCACCTTGGCCTGGCGGAGATCTCCAACGGCTCGGAGCCGAATCGGTGCTTTAGGGGGTGGGTTCCCATTTACCCTCTACAGAACCCCCCCCCTTTTCAGGTTGGTTTATCACTCAGTTCCCTTCCAATTGGTTGACGATTTCCCCGTAAATACCAAGCTTCCCATGGTTTCAAAGTGGTGCAGTGCGGCACTTTGCAGACCAGTGACCCGAGCAAGTAGAGATACCAGTTCCAAGCTTGCCGAAATCAGCCGAAGGCGACTCAAGCTACAAGCTCGTTGAAATGACCCTTTCGCCCAGAGAATTCTCACGCTTGGGTTAAGTTTACTTCACTTGACTCGGCGCACCAGAGCCAGGCAACCGGACCTGAAAGGCAAAAACATTTTGGGTTTGCGGATAGCGCAACCGGCCAACTGAAGTACCGGGCCCCTGTGTGACCCTAGATGGGTTCTAACAAAATTGCCTTCGTGCCCTACACAAAGATTGTCCTTCGGTGCCAGCGCAACACAACTTCTTCTTCTTCTTCTTCTTCTTCTTCTTCTTCTTCTTCTTCTTCTTGTTCTTCTTCTTCTTCTTGTTCTTCTTCTTCTTCTTCTTCTTATTCTTCTTCTTCTTCTTCTTCTTTTGGAGCTCATTCAACGGCTGAGGGTCAAGGGGAAACTACTGTAGACCATTTCGTGCCACCTTGAAACCATGGTTGAAACCATTGATTTACACGGAAAACATCATTCCAGGGTTTCTGAATGGACTTCGTGCATCCACAGTATAACCTCCCACCTCCAACCTCCAAACCAAGCCGCCAACCAAAGGACTGCTGAAGAGGCGATGAAAGTCACTTGTCTAGGTCCTCCAGTAGAGAGGATAGACTAAGGGTGCCCTTTTTTCTGTAGTGGATTGTAGTAGGGGAACCCTCCGCCAAAAAAGGGTGAGAAAGGAACCTAGTTGTCTTCAAGCAGCGAACTCCAAGTCCCCTGCCATGATCTGGGGGGCATATTGGGCGTGTATCGTTAAAAACAAACAAAAACTTGTTCGGTGTGGTGTTGAAGGGAAGCCAAAAAGAAAACCACCATTTTGGTGGGGTTCAACGTATAAAAAGGATAGCAAAATAACCACCATTTTGGTGGGGTTTAAACTAGGGGACCCTGAAAATTGACTGGGGTGTCCTTTCGGTTTCCATTTAACACCTACCCCAAAAAACAGGTATGCCACACCTCCCAACCTCCGACAAAACAGACCTAGGCCCTCCAGATTTGAGAGGTTAGAATAAGTGGTTACCATGGGTTTTTTTCAGTTTTGCCTATTTTAGTTGGGGAACCCAACCAAAAAAGAAGCGGCGAGAAAAGGGCACCTCGCTGGGGCACCTAGAAACGTCTCCGCCCGGCCCGGCCATCGTGGGGTAGACCACGTCTTGGGAGCAGCTCTGAGGCCACTCCACCTGGTCCTCCATGAACCTCGGAGAACACGCGGGGCTATGGCGGCGCTGGGCCGTTGGGCCGTTGGGCTACTGTGGCCAGCCAAGTTTCCACACACACACACACACACCAATTTGTTGCAGTGTAAAGGGTATACAAAATACATGTGTATGTGCATGCGTATATATATATATATATATCATATCTGTATGACATACTGTGCATGGTTGCAACATCCATTCGGCTGTGGCGAATTCAAAAAACCAGAATTCCAAAATGGAACCCTGTGGAAACATGGACCAAAACCTGCGGTTTGCCCCTCCTGTTTAATTTTGAGCCACACCTATTTCGCACCGTTCAGAAACCTAACGGAAGAATTCGATTCCCCAACGTAAATACCTTTCCAAGTGGTGCAAATGGATTTTGACCATCCACAGTATGGCTCGAACGGCGAAAGAACAGATCACCAGACCCGATTTGGCGACTCGGTGAAAAAACAGGAGGCTTGCACAATCATGGCGTGTAGGGCCCGAAAGGAACGCATTTTCTTCGAACCCATTTTGCTGTGGCTCAAATAATGCACTATCCGAAATTGGCACCTTGGCACATGGGAATAAAGACTAAGCTCCGGGTAACCCCAGCCTTTCTATTTGAGGCACAATGGCGAATAAAAACCAACAGACCCGATTTGGCGATTCGGCTGAAAAAGAAGGGAACAGAAAAGCCAGGATTGAACAAGGGGACCGGACAGGTCGACGTAAACAAGGGTCGTTCAACAAACATGCTTGTTTAAAACAAACATGGTCTAGATTTGTTTTAAACAAGCGATTGCTCGCCCAACTCTGGTCACCAGAGCCCAACTCCGGCCGCCAAAGCCCCACCGAAAGGGCCGGGAAGTGCAAACCGTGGGCGTGCACTCGATCTGAAAAAGAAAGCAGAAGCACTGAACAGTAAATTCTGATGTGTCAGGACTGGGCTGCCCTCACAGATCCGCCGCTAAAAGTTTTTAACTTTTAGTGGGTCAAATGGAAGCCACCACTAAACACTCAAAGGCCCAAACGGAGGTTCAACTGCGAGGTCCAAAGGCAAGCAAGGAACTCAAAAACCATCCCACGCAGCACGCACCTCCAAGACGGGAAAAAATCGTTCTTGAGGGAGAATCCTTGGGTGCGAAGAAATGGGGGCACCTCCCAGTCATTTGGACTTTCGGGGGTCCCCCACGTACCGCGCGGCAATTTGATGACGTTCCACTAAACGTAGTCTTCGGGGAGCCGGTGTCGCAAAACAGGGGTCCCAGGCTCGATTCCCCCTGCCGGCTTTTTTGCTGGCTTGGGCTTCCTGCATCCTTTTGCCGAAAATCTGGAAAAACTCAATGTTTTTGGACGTCCTCTTTGCGAAAACGCTGGAAAAACCGTGTTTTTTTTGCGGGAAATACATACATACATACATACATACATACATACATACATACATACATACATACATACATACATACACATACATACATACATACATACATACATACATACATACATACATACATACATACATAACAATACATACATACATACATACATACATACATACATACATACATACATACATACATACATACATACATACATACATACATACATACATACATACATACATACATACATACATACATACATACATACATACATACATACATACATACATACATACATACATACACACATACATACATACATACATAAACATACATACATACATACATACATACATACGACATTACATTACATACATACATACATACATACATACATACATACATACATACATACATACATACAATTAAATATATACATACATACAATTACATACATACATACATACATACATACATACATACATACATACATACATACATACATACATACATACATACATACATACATTACATACATACATACATACATACATACATACATACACATACATACATACATACATACATACATACATACATACATACATACATACATACATACATACATACATTACATACATACATACATACATACATACATACATACATACATACATACATACATACATACATTACATACATACATACATACATACATTACATTACATTACATTACATTTACATTACATTACATTACATTACATTACATTACATTACATTACATTACATTACATTACATTACATTACATTACACTACACTACATTACATTACATTACATTACATTACATACATACATACATACATACATACATACATACATACATACATACATACATACATACATACATACATTACATACATACATACATACATACATACATAACATACAAACATACATACATACATACATACATACATACATACATACATACATACATACATACATACATACATACATACATACATACATACATACATACATAAATGCATTTACATACATACTCCAGGCCGTGGACCCCCCCCCCCTCCCCCCCCCAACCCCCCCCCCCTGTGGGGGTGGGGTGGGTGGGTGGTGGGGTGGTGGTGGGGTTGTGGGGTGGTGGTTGGGTGGTTGGGTGGTTGGGCCAACCCCCCCCCCCCTGTGGGGGGTGGGGTGGGTGGTGGGGTGGTGGGGTGGTGGGGTGGTGGGGTGGTGGGGTGGTGGGGTGGTTGGGTGGTTGGGTGGTTGGGTGGTTGGGTGGTTGGGTGGTTGGTTGATTTAGGCTTAGGGTTGGGGTTAAGGAGGGGTTGCAGGGTGGTTTGGTTTAGGGTAGGATGTTGCGAGAGGTGCGGGGGTGTTGGTTCACGGGGTAAAAGGGGGTCTGGGACCGAAGCTGCAGGGCTCGCACGCTACTGGACAGCATCCCCAGCATTGCCAGCATCATCCCCAAGATGCGGATGATGCGGGGGAGTGGGGGGACCATACCATTGGGGGGGGGGGGGTACGTGGCCCAGGGACTGGTACGCCCGCGCCATACACACATACATACATACATAAATACATACATACATACATACATGCATGCACATACATACATACATTACATGCATACATACATACATTACATACATACATACATACATACATTTCATACATACATACATACATACATACATACATACATACATACATACACTGCATGCATGCATAATACATACATGCATTACATTACATTACATTACATTACATTACATTACATTACGCATACATACATTCGTTACGTTACGTTACGTTACATTAAACATTGCGTACATCACATTTGTCACGTTACGTACATACATACATTACATACAATACATACATGTATGCATTTGCATACATATATACATTACATTCATACGTATGCATTTCAATACATACATACATACATTACCGTCACGAGTACATGCAGCCACATACATACAGCATACATACGTACATATACGTTACATTGCATTCCGTTTACATTCTGATCTGGATTACATTACATTACATTACATTACATTACATTACATTACGTTACATTTCGTTATTGCGTTACGTTACACACATACATACATGCCTTAATTGCACGTTGCCGTTACGTTACGCGTTACATTACATGCATACTAACATTAACGCCTACGTGCCTTACTTGCTTAGGTACTACATACATTACATACATAGATACATACATACATACATACATACATACATACATACATACATACATACATACATACATACATACATACATACATACGTTACATTACATACATACATACATACATACATACATACATACATACATACATACATACATACATACATACATACATACAAAAATACATACATACATACATACATACATACATACATACATACATACATACATACATACATAATTACATACATACATACATACATACATACATACATACATACATACATACATACATACATACATACATACATACATACATACATACATACATACATACATACATACATACATACATACATTACATACATACATACATACATACATACACACATACATACATACATACATACGTTACATACATACATACATACATACATACATACATACAGACAGACATACATACATACATACATTACATACATACATACATACATACATACATTACATACATACATACATACATACATACATACATACATACATACATTACATACATGCATGCATACATGCATGCATGCATGCATGCATGCAAACATTACATTACATTACATTACATTACATTACATTACATTACATTACATTACATTACATTACATTACATTACATTACATTACATTACATTACATTACATTACATTACATACATACATACATATATACATGCATACATACATACATACATACATACATACATACATACATACATACATACATACATTACAGTACATTACATTACATGACATTACATGACATTACATACATACATACATTACATACATACATACATGCATACATGTATGTGAGCATGCATGCATGCATGCATGCATGCACACATACATACATACGTACCTACATTACATGCATTACATTACTTACTTACTTACTTACTTACTTACTTACTTACTTACTTACTTACTTACTTACTTACTTACTTACTTACTTACATACTCACATACATGCATACATGCATACATACATACATGCATACATACATACATACATGCATGCTTACATACATACATACATACATACATTGCATGCATGCATGCATGCATGCATGCATGCATGCATGCATACATACATACATACATACATACATACATACATACATACATACATTACATACATACATACATACATACATACATACATACATACATACATACATACATACATTACATTCATACATGCATGCATACATACATACATACATACATACATACATACATTACGTACATACATACTTACTTACGTACTTACTTACTTAAATGTAAGCATTACATGCATACATACATACATACATACATACATGCATACATACATACTTATGTACATGCATGCATACATGCATTACATGCCTACATGCATGCATGCAGCCGTACATGCGTTGCATTACATGCATACGTACATGCATGCATACAGAAGTACACACACATACATGCATGCATGCATGCATGCATGCATGCACAGCATTACATTCCGTTGCAAGCACGTCCATGCAGCCATGCATACATGCATACGTACATGCAGCACATTGCATGCATGCGTTTCAAATGCATACGTACATGCGTACATGCATGCATGCGTTTACCACGTTAGTTTATACATTCGTTACATTACGTTACGTTGCGTTATTGATTGATTGCATGCATGCATGCATACATACATACATACATACATACATACATACATACATACATACATTACATACATACATACATACATACATACATACATACATACATACATACATACATACATTACATTCATACATGCATGCATACATACATACATACATACATACATACATACATTACGTACATACATACTTACTTACGTACTTACTTACTTAAATGTAAGCATTACATGCATACATACATACATACATACATACATGCATACATACATACTTATGTACATGCATGCATACATACGAGAGAGGGAGATTGGGGAGAGAGAGGCTTGGGGGGATGGGGAGGATGGGAACAGAGGGAGGGAGAGAGGACGACAGAACACACAAGGGAGACAAGGAAGAGAGGAAGAAGGAGAAAAGGGAGAGGACAATGTCGGCGGACTGAGCCGGAGGCTCTAAAGTTTCTTGGTGGAACCTCCAAGTGATGTGCTAAATTTATTTCGCACCCAGCCCCCCAAAGAAACTCGCACCCAGCCCCCCAGAAAAGGAAGAAAAAACAACTCGATGCCGTCTGCGCTTGGGAAACCTGGGGACACCGGGCATAGGGCAGCCCACTGCTGCTGGCTGGTCCCCAGGCCCGTTGCTCACGGCCACACGGCCTGGGCCGAAACGAGCATAAAGTTGGAGCTGGCCAGGAGTATCCTGGTGAAGCTTCCTCCCAAAAAGGCACTAGGGGGGGCACCCTACGTTAGTAAGGTTTGTTTTATCCCATTTAGGAGACCGAACAAAAACCATGGTAAGTGGGTTACCAAGCTTACTGACCACTTACCAAGTCCAATGCCCCTTCAAGTAGAGATGCAAGCTTACAGAAGGCACCCAAAAGGGAAGTCCGATGCTCAAAATAAGATACCTCTACAGTGGTGTGTATGGGGTTGTCAATTTGCCCTTGTCGGAAAGTCTGAACTAATTTACAACAAAACCTGAAAAGCGCATGGACAACAGGAACCATCCTCAGAGAAACCAGGTGAACTACAAGAATTCAACACGCAATCAGGGCTCCCACCAGGGCTCCCTAAGAAGTGGAACTTTGACCAGGGCAACATTGCAAGCCCAGACCCCCTCCGAAAAGCTTTCCAATTGTTGCTGCACAAATATGGAATCTGAGAAAGCACAAATATGGAAACTGAGAAAGGCAACCGTTGAAAAGGCAAGCAATCCCGAGGACGCTCTTTGCCCACATGAATCGATGCATTGGGATCCATAAACTTTGCGGCTGGCTTCTGAGGCCTTCCTTGTGAATTATTGTCAACATGCACCACCAACCATTCCCTGTAAAGTTCCCTTAGGGTCTGTTCCTTTTTCAGGGTAACTTGTTTTCCGGCTTTTAACAGCGCCATCTTGGGGGGTCTGGCGCCTAAAAAAAGACACACCCATCTATGTCACGCACACCCATCGATCATGGCCGGGGCAAATTTGTTTAATTTGGACTTCTGGCTGCTTTCCACTTTGGTTTAGCCTTCAAAACCATCCTAAAGAGGCTTCCCAACTGGGGACACACTGTGGATGGACGAAATCCTGCAACACATAGCCTAAGAAACCCTGAAATGATTCGCTTTCCCTGAACATACCAACAAAGGATGGTGTTTTTCCCATGGCTTCAAACTGGTGCAGGATTTTGTCTGTCCACAGTAGCTCGAGTTCGGTCACTTCCAAGCGGGTGCATTCTGGGCTGCTGGGTTGGTGCGGGGGCATCGATCTGGCCACAGGAGGGTATCGTTGCAGCGCGGCATGGACTACGGACAAGATGAACACACACCTTTGCACCGGCTCCAACGTGGTATCAGTTGTTCACACGGCCCTTGCGTACTGGTGAGTCGCAGCTGTTATTCAACCACCTGACGGGACGTCTCGAAACTCCCCTTATAAACCGAGAAAAACAAACAAAACCGCATGTTTTTTCTGGTGAGTTCCCTATAAACCCAGAAAAGAAAAAAAGAAAAAAGAGAAAAAGAAAAAAAGAAACGGAACAAAAAGGGCCACGTTTCCTTGATGAGTTCTCATCGGTCGGGGACCCACCACGACTTGTTTGTGACCTGGGGCTCAGCGCCGAGGCTGCCCCAGTGCGATTTCATCGCCAAGAGAAGCTTCCGATTGAAGACCTGGCGAAGGCAAGACAGTTCGAAGGTTTGATTCGAAGAAAATCGGGTCTGGTGGCTGTTCTTCGCCATTGTGCCTCAAAATACAAAGGCTGGGGTTACCCGGAGCTTAGTCTTTATTCCCATGTGCCAAGGTGCCAATTTCGGATAGTGCATTATTTGAGCCACAGCCAAATGGGTTCGAAGAAAATGCGTTCCTTTCGGGCACACCATGATTTTGCAAGCCTCCTGTTTTTTCACCGAATCGCCAAATCTCCAAGGTTTGATTCCGCATTATCTTCACCCATCGTTCTCTTTGGAAGCCACCAATTTCCAGGGTTGCCCTTTCTTTGAAGAGAATGATACCTGAAGAGAATGGGGAGGGTACTGGTAGAGCAGTGATGGGTGCAACCCGCCACTGCGGCAGTCCGTGAACCCATTTGAACTTGCTTCAAAATTGGGCACCTCACCCCCCCCCAAAAAAAAAGATGCTCCATTGGTGTCTGCCGATTTTGAGACAGACCGACCCATTTCTGGGCGTGCCTGAACCATGTCGGCGCAGTCCCAAGCATCTACGTGCCATGTGCGACATGTTTACTTTCTGCAAAAAGATCCGAAGAAAACGACCGCGACACCCAGCGCCAGGGCCCTGTTTGACAAAAGCACCCCCCGGGTTTTCAGCTTCGCCTCTTGCCTGGCTCGGGCTTTTGAGGAGGGCTGCCAGCCCGACACTTCAGGGCTGACAAGGGTGAGGACAAGGGGCACTTACTTGCCAGCAGTCTTCACCAAAGCTGGAAGTCATCATCTTGCTGAGCTCAGAAATCCCAAGACATGTGTTCGCTCCCAGTAGCAGGCGCAAGTTCATGCCCCAAGCAGCCAGCTGAGTCACATGACCCAAGATCAAAAGTGCTTTGAAGAAGTTTGCTGCTAGGCCACGAACTTGGCGCACGTCTATGCAACCAAATCCGCAACCCCCCCTTCCCCAGCTGCAAAAACGTGGCAGCAGCGCAAATGCGTTGCCCCACATGAGCATCATTGGGCCCTCAAGGCTGGCCTGACTGCCAACCGCAGAAAACCGCGGCAAGAGGGACGCAGGTCGAGTATTTCCGCATTTCGGCCTTCGGAACGCATCGCGACCGCCTGAGGAAACTCAGAGGAGGCCTAAGGAAACCCACCAACACCCACTGTGGATGGTTGCGAAATCCATTTCGCATTCAGAAACCCAACGGTTTCTCATGATTTGCCAACGTAAATGCCAACGTTCTGGGTTCACCCACGGTTTCATTTTGTGGTGGCAAACCATCCACAGTCGCCAAAAACAAGCTGCAGTGAGGCGGTCACCTATACTCAACAATGGTGGGTTAGTGCCTGGTGGCTGGACAGGGGGTTCCCATTTGGTTTCAAAAGAACGGCTTCACATCCGAATCCAAAGCACCAATCCGAACCAACGAAGAAGGGTTCAGGGCTCCGTCAACCAACATCTGGGCCTTTCCTTTACGAGCATTCATCGCACATCGAAACGAAACGCACGCGACTGGAGTGGACGCAGGATCAGTCTAGTGCGCGGAGTCGCGCGGGTGGTGAAAGTGTGACTGAGGCAAAGGCTGTGGAAAATGGGTGTGCAAACATGGTGGTGTTCGCTTTAGTTTGCGTTCAAAGCCACCACAAAAAAGTGCCCTCAACAAAAGACAAAGACATACCCAAATGACGGCATGTACCATGAGTGTGCTGTGCCGCGAAAGTTGGCCTAGCTTTTCCAGGCGCCTCATTCTCATATATGCTGTCAAACCTTGCTCGAACAGCGTATGTTGACCATACACTTCCATTTGCTTAAGCCCTATGGGAGAAAACATGTCCAGCGGTAGATTCCCTTTAAAACCAAAAAGGGAAAATAACACATATTCTTAAGCAAATGGAAGTGAACCAACGTGGCTTTCCCAGGAAAGCCAAAAGCCTTGACAACATGGCTAGGTCCTCCAGTAGCGCAGTAGAGAGGTTAGAATAAGGGTACCCTTTTCCTGTAGTCTATCTTAGAAGGGGAACCCCAAAAAGGGCTAAAAGGGCACTACTGGGGGACCAAAAAATGCAATCAGCATCTGCCAAAAAAAAAAACTGCGGTGTCTAGCGTCGGTCCGTCGGCCGGCCTGCTCCTCTGGTGTGCCGGTGCGCAAACCCTCCAGGTATTTCAGGATGGTCTCCTTTGCCCTGGCCTCCGGTGCTTCGCGAACAAGGCGGCATGGACACACGAGGCCGCGAAGACCAGCGAGGAAACCGAGCGCGCCCCGAAAATCCGAAGAAAAAAAGGACTCGCTGCCTTCAATCTCTTGGCTTCATGCCCTCGGTTGGGCTGGAGCAAGAAAGTCAAACCCCCCCCCCAAAAAAAAACAAAAAGATATATATATATATATATTTAAAAAGAGAAAAAAAAAAAAAAGGAAAAAAAAAAAAAAAAACGCCCTGAGCCGGCGGGAGGCCGGCCTTTCTCTGTGCGTCTTTTTTTTGTGGCAAGGGGCCAACAGAAAAAGAATCCTGGCGCATCTCGGGTACCTTCCCCGACGAACACAGCCTGACCTCGGGCTTCCTGACTTGGCCCGTCGAGGGCTAGTTTAATTTAAAAGAAAAAACCGGCCTCGAAACACCAAGTAGCGTGCAACCTTCCATTCTGTGGATGGAAGAAATATTGCACCACCTAAGAAACCCTGTGATGATTCCAGTGCGAATTGCAGCAAACGCTTTGGTTTCAACCATGGTTTGATTTCCTAGGTCCTCCAAATTTGAGAGGCTAGAATAAGGGTACCATGTTTTTTCTTTTTGGTCTATTTTAGTAGGGGAACCCTCCTAACCAAAAAAGAAACGGTGAGAGAGGGCACCTAGCTGGGGCACCTAGCTGGGGCACCTAGTTTCGGTGGCCCAGCTGGCCGCTGAGGCAGGCGCCGGGCTCAAGAAGTGGTCGAGCTCCGAGTTGATGAACCAGTCGTGCTGGTTCACAAACTCCGAGTCTGGCAACGAGCTGGGCAACCCGGGCTAGACCCTACTGATGGTTGCGAAATCCATGTCCCACAAACCTGAGAAACCATGGTTGAAACTACTGCTTGAAACCAGTGATTCCAAGCATTTGGCTTCAGGGAGCCTGCCCCTTTTTGTGGGTTCAAAGGGAAACGAAAAGGAAACACAAGATCCGTTTTGGGGGGAGTGCCCTAAAAAAAAGGCCAACATGCGGGTGATGCCCCACATCTTAACCACTCATTCTTGTGGTTGGGGTGGGTGGTTGCACTAGGGAAAACCGTCCCAATGTGGCTTCCCGGGCTGGGGTTCAAACAACTGACGGGTCAAAATAATGAGCCTGGACAAACCAAAGTATGAAATGGGCGGGTGGCTCGTCCGGTAAAGGGGAAAAGCGCAGCGCCATTTTGGGCGGTGCGACCTAAAAAAAGAAACACCCGGGCTGTCCTCAGATACCCCCGCTTAAAGTCTAACTTTCAGTGGATTGACTACGGAAACTCAACCACTACACCTACTAAGAACCACTGAAAACCTAAGTTGAACCGGATCATTCGCTGGGAGCTGCCACCCAAATCCAGGCGTCGAAGACATCGGCCGCTCAAAAGACCAAGGCTCAGGCGCAGGAGATGGTTCCAGGACGGCATGAGGCCCACCATGTTCCTGGCCGCACGCGGCCAGCGACGGACGGATTCGTGAGGACTTCCTCCCCCCCCCCAAAAAAAAAAAAAAAACATGCGCGGTGGCTTTCTTTTCCTCCCCCCCCCCCCCCAAAAAAAAATGTGCCGTGGCTTGTTTTTTTTCCCCCCGAGGAAGCTCAAGAAGCTGGGCTGGTCTTTCTTGGAATTTCCGGGAGTTTCCGGGGAGTCCAGGACCCACGAAATTGCGTCGCCAGTCGCCCAGGGTTCGCTTCCCAGAAACCCCCCAGAAGCGGCCCAAAAGCCAGCAAAAGGGCCCGTGGCTGCAAAGGTCTTAAGCTTGCTTTGCCGGCAACTTGAAACAACTACCCCAACCTGTCTTGAAAAAACTCCTGGACACAGCTGTCCTTTTGGCACAACAGACGGTCCTGGTAAATGGAATAAAGCCAATCTAAACCTGTGGAACCCATGTATTTCTAGCCAAACTAACCAATCAAAAGGACACCTACGGATCCATCCAACTGGCGGCGAAAAGTTGTCGCCCGCGCCTGTGGTAGAGCCAGCCGTCGTCCTTGCGGGCCAGGCCCTGCTTGGGCACGATGACCCGCATAAAGTCGGCTTCCTGGCTCGGCGAAGCACGCGAATTTGCCACATCCGTGTCTGCGGTCATGGCTCCTCTAAGGGGAACACTTACACATGGTTTGGCGAAAATCCCTAAGGTCAAGGACATGTTCAGGGTGTCACCAGTAGCCAGGCTCCCAATTATTTTGATTTTCGCGGAGTCGGCCGCTCGCCTCCTGCTTGGTTGCCTGTTGAGATGACCTCTTGAAATCACTTAGATTCTTCCGCATGGAGCATGTGGATGACCTTGTAATCAATCTCAGGGACAATGCATAAGATCATCGTGGAAGAATCTGGAGACGCTGAGCCATGTTGCCTGCACTGGAAATTTGAAACTTAGTGACTCGGACTGTTTATTTGTTTCTGGATAATAGACTGAGTCCACCAAATTAACCATAGGCTACTGGATCATTCCGACCTCATCTCATATATCAAAAGTTGTGCCGCTTTTCTACTGTGCGGAAAATAAATGAGGAAAGTATGGAAGTGTTTCGTTGCAGCCGCAGAATGTTTACGTATCTATATATATATATATATTGTTGGGATCTGATTCATGGCACGGCTTTCCTGGGTCCGCCTCTTCTTGGCAACTTTCCGGCCTCTCCTGTGACTTCACTCAACTTGTTTCTGGCTGGACCTTAAAGATGTTTCATAGGTTTGGTCTATCAAAGCGATCCTTGAGATGTAACTGGAAGAACTCCCAAGAAAGATGGTCCCTAAGGCTCAGAGATGCTGAGAGCGTCTTCTCACGCTTGCACGCCGTACAAGCACTGAATGCAAACGTGGATTGTGCCAAATGGCTGGCGCGAATTGGGTTCTCAGGGCCCTTGCCAGAAATTACATGGAACCCAAACAAGCCTCTCCATAGCTTCCATTTGATTTTTTGCCCCCGGGAAAAAATGAAAATATGTCCAGTATTGATAGATTCCCTTTAAAAACAACAAGGGAAAACAACAACATATTCATTCCAGCAAATGGAAGTAAATTGTCCCGCTCTTGAAACATGATGGTACTTATATTATTAAGCAAATGGAAGATCGGAGTCTCCTTCTGGTTGACCACCTCTTTTGGGTTCCTTCCAATCATAGCGCCGCTTCATCCCCCCGCCTTCTGCTTCCCCGGCGCGGCATGATCCGTGTAGAACATGTGGCCGTCGCACTTCTTGTACCTTTCGACTGGAGGCACCCCACTTGTGCCCAATATCCGCAGTTGAGTCACAATCAAAACCTGCTATTAAAATGGTTGACCCAGAACCATGTAAGGAAACACAGAGGCGGCCGCAACTATTTATGGCTGGGATTGTCCCTTACTAACCTTCATCTACCCGGGTTTTGAGCAAGTGGCTCAGTTGGTACTGTGGGTTACATAGGTGTCCTTTTAGGGGAAATAGATGGGTTTCCCTGGTAGATGAGAAAAAACCGCCAGGTAAACCAGGGCCATCCGCCATCGATTTTTCGAGCAAAACAACCAAAAAGGACACCTATGGTGGGTTGGCTTCCGTAGCTTTAACCCCACAACCCCGCAAAACAGAAGAGAAATCCCTCCAATTCAAGACCCGCTGTGGACGGTGGCGAAATCCGCTTCTGGCACCCAAGAAGCCAGGGTTGAAACCAGAACCTTTTGGCATTTACGTTGGGAAATCAAATCATTCCGTTGGGTTTCTGAACTGGTGGTGCGATTTCTGCATTTCGCAACTCTCCACAGTACCTCCCCGAACTGGGCAAGTCCCACTTCGTGGCAATTAAGCACTGGAGCACCGCACAAATGACCAAGACAAAATCGGCGTCCGCTTGCCCTGGGGAAAAAACAACAGTACATATATATATATATATATAT